AAGAGTTGCGCTGTAGATAATAGAGAAAAATAGCGCAAGTGCCTTGATAAATTCCCCCCAGTGTGCTTGGAAAACAGATAGTCTCACCATTCTCAGGTTGTCCTGTTCAGTGGCTCTCTCAGCCTCCCCAAACCTTCCAGCCTCCCAGGCTGTTCATGTGCCTCCAGCACACACCAAACTTGGCTTGGCCTGTGTGTTCCTCCAGCACACACAGCTACCTGGCTCCACTCTGACATCTGGGTGGAGTCCTCCTGACTCCCGAACACCTATGTTCCTCTTCCCAGCTGGAGCCCTGAACACACTCCAGCACCCTCCTCATGAGGGATGCACACAGGTGCACAATCAGGTGCTGGCTGCCACTAAAGCATGGACCCAGGAATAGAGATTTCATCCCACCCAGAGATCTAAGAAATCTCCTGGCTCCAGGATCCCAACTATGATCCAGAAAACCTGGAAAGGACTGAGAAGCCAGCTCTTTCCTGGTACAAGCAATTGCTTCCTGGAGCCACTCAGCCCCCCTGACCCACCGCATGGCTTCCTGATTGGCCAGGAAGCCGGCTCCATGCTCCCTCGCTGCAAGGAAGTTCTGGTATTGGGGTAAGTACAAGTACTCGCCCAAATGTTCAGTATCAGCACCAATACTGATAATTAGTGCATCCCTTTGTGTATATATGTATATATGTGTGTATGTGTATATATATATACACACACACACACTCTCTGTATATGTGGGCATTGAACAAGAATTTTAAAAACTTACAAACTGAAAAAAAAAATGAACCCCCAAATGATTACAGTTTCCATTTAAATAATATGAAAGGTTATTAAGGAATAGCAAGTTGTTATATGAATGTAGCTGTGCCTAATTAAGCATTAAAATATCGGCTTTTTTGGCTTGCCCGGCAGACTTCTTTGTTCCTTGGCTCCGTATCATAGAAAGTAGCTCCTTCAGAGCTATGTATACTAGTATATATGCATTATTTAGTCAGAAGATTAAAAGTGTTTGCTGAGTATGCACATTTTTGTTCTCAGTTTTTGGACTACACAAGCTTCTAGTGTGATCTAACTTGGGGCCATAAACTACACAACATTTAAGTGATAATTAACCGTATCTAAAAAAAAAATATATAGTATTATGGACCCCAGTACATACCTTTCTTGAATGTGCCTTTCCATTTTCCCACTGTGGTCGATTTCAAATCTTGCTGTGAAAAATGTTCCCTCTGACAATCGTGCCTTAGGGTGGCTCTGTCCCCTTACAGGGACCCATGCAGTCACCTATGCATGTGTGTTCCCATCTGGATACATGGACACGTGTATTTATGTCCACTGAAGCCTATGGTCCTGGAGGCAAGTCACTCACATGCTCCTTCCTCCAGCTGCTGATTGACAGTGGCAGTTGCTCATGTCATCCAATCAGGTTCTCTGTTTAATTTTCAAAGCTTAATTTAACAAGCTAAAAAGACGCTGACTGGTTGCTAACTGGTTGGGCAACTGCTCCAGATTCTGTCTGATACAGTTACAGCACAAGCTCAAGCTCCCTATACAGCACACAGATACAGCACAAGCTCCCTAATAGTATTATTCTAGGATAAATTCCTTTAACCTCTTGCCGTCCGCCCGTTAAGAAAAGACGGACGGACGGCAGACTCGCATCAGCGGGTTGCCGTCTCCAGACGGCATTTTTTTCCTGCTCGCGCGGGCACGGGCAGGAGTACCCCGTCTTTTATATTTTACTAAAAAATTGGGTAATAATAAATGTTTTAGAATTAATTATAGGGGAAACAGTTTTTTTTTTTTAATTTTTCCTTAATATATTCAAAAATAAAAACCCCAGTGGTGAACAAATACCACCAAAATATAGCTCTATGTGTCCCCAAAAAAAGGGTATAAAATTCATTTCAGTACAGCGCTGCATGACGGAATAAATGTCAGTCAAAGTACCGTAGCGCTGAATACTGAAAAATGGCCTGGATGGGAAGGGGGTTTAACACCCCGGATGTCAACTGGTTAAAATAACCATAAACTGACTGGAGAGCATGTCCCCAACTCAACCAAATTAAACTCCTCTTCATAATTCTTGGCTCCTACAAGCAGATTAAGAGGGGGTCTACGCCGCCACTTCCTGGTCTCTTCTTGCACTACAGCTTGGCGATGGCATAGTATGGACACTAACAAGCCTGTAGAATGGGTGTACCACATGGACTCTATATACCAGATGAAACAAATGCTCTCTTGGGATAAAGATATCTCAGATACTTTATTGATTTTTTTGGTCTACATGGCTTAATTTTAGACACTCCAAATACCTTACCGCCTATTGATTTATTTTAGGCTCTTACAGAATATTTGAGAGCTTTTGGCAGCTGTGGATGGTGGTTGGAGCACCCTTCCTATTTCTCTACTCCTAATGCCAATTTCCCATGCCCCCCCTCCACCTTTTCTTGTGTGCTCTCGGTTCCCTGATCCACTAACCTGAACCATTTCCCACTTAGCTTCCCCCCAACCCCTTAAGCTATCCCTCTGGATAGGATATCTGGTTGATGTTTCCATACCCAGCTCAGCATATTTTGTTACCTGTTTTTTTTTTTTATTCTTTATTTTGAATTTTCAGATATAATAGACAATAAGTACAAAAACAGTCTATGCCGTATTCCATTCAATTACAGTAACAGGTATATTAATCGAGTAAGCGTATCTCGTCGCTGGCGTCCGCCATCTTGTCCCCACATGTTGCCCTCGTTTCACCGCTGGATCGCGGCACCGAAAGCGAGCGGATCCTCGCACCCGCTAAAAAACGGTCCATGGCAGCCCCTCCGCTCGGTTAGTGTCTCGGGCGGTGCGGGCGGGCAGTATCGCCGGTTTTAAATAACGTTTATGGCCGCGGCTGCAGGAGCGCTCTCTCTCTGCAGCCGATCACATGGGCGCCGGAACCGGAAGTTTCACGAATAGTTTTAAGCTGCTATGTATGTATATGTAAACAATGTTTAATGTACTAATAAAAGTAATGTTTAAGCCTATGTGAGACCGGCATGCTTGTGTACAATGAAAGCCCCATTTTATTGTGTTTCTTAGTCTGTATTAGTTTTGCACAGAGTGGGGAAGAGTTGGACCCCATGTCAGGTTATTACTGACATGGGCATCACTGAGTCTATAACAAGTGCCCAGATCCCCAGGTATACTTTAAAAAAAAAACATTTTTATGATATTTTTTTGTCTTCAGTTACCAATTTGTATTAGAAGGTTGGGGGGCTGCAGGGTAACATCCAACATTCCAGTGACACTGACAGTGCACATGGCTGCCATCTACAGGAACTGTCAGTATCACTGCAATGGTGGATAGGTAAGAGCCAGGTGCAGACACCATTTCAGTGACACTGACAGTGCTTGTAAGTGGCAGCCAGGTGCACACACCTTTCCAGAAACGCTAACAGTGGAACTGGCTGCCACCTACAATCACTGTCACTGAAATAGTGTGAGCAACTGGCTGTTAGTTAGTGCCTTTGGAATGGTGCATAGGTAGGAGTCCGGTGCACTGTTAGTGTCATTGGAATGGTGGGTGGGTGGGAGTCAGGTGCACTGTTAGTGTAATTGGAATGGTGGATAGGTAGGAGTCCGGTGCATTGTTAGTGTCATTGGAATGGTGGATGGGTGGGAGTCAGGTGCACTGTTAGTGTCATTGGAATGGTGGATGGGTGGGAGTCAGTGCACTGTTAGTGTCATTGGAATGGTGGATGGGTGGGAGTCAGTGCACTGTTAGTGTCATTGGAATGGTGGATGGGTGGGAGTCAGTGCACTGTTAGTGTCATTGGAATGGTGGATGGGTGGGAGTCAGTGCACTGTTAGTGTCATTGGAATGGTGGATGGGTGGGAGTCAGTGCACTGTTAGTGTCATTGGAATGGTGGATGGGTGGGAGTCAGTGCACTGTTAGTGTCATTGGAATGGTGGATGGGTGGGAGTCAGTGCACTGTTAGTGTCATTGGAATGGTGGATGGGTGGGAGTCAGTGCACTGTTAGTGTCATTGGAATGGTGGATGGGTGGGAGTCAGTGCACTGTTAGTGTCATTGGAATGGTGGATGGGTGGGAGTCAGTGCACTGTTAGTGTCATTGGAATGGTGGATGGGTGGGAGTCAGTGCACTGTTAGTGTCATTGGAATGGTGGATGGGTGGGAGTCAGTGCACTGTTAGTGTCATTGGAATGGTGGATGGGTGGGAGTCAGTGCACTGTTAGTGTCATTGGAATGGTGGATGGGTGGGAGTCAGTGCACTGTTAGTGTCATTGGAATGGTGGATGGGTGGGAGTCAGTGCACTGTTAGTGTCATTGGAATGGTGGATGGGTGGGAGTCAGTGCACTGTTAGTGTCATTGGAATGGTGGATGGGTGGGAGTCAGTGCACTGTTAGTGTCATTGGAATGGTGGATGGGTGGGAGTCAGTGCACTGTTAGTGTCATTGGAATGGTGGATGGGTGGGAGTCAGTGCACTGTTAGTGTCATTGGAATGGTGGATAGGTGGGAGTCAGGTGCACTGTCATTGGAATGGTATACACACAGTACACCTGGATCCCACCTGAGGCTGGGGGAAACTATGGAAGAAGGAGGCAGAGAAGTACTACTAACGTTATTAGTTTTAGTAGAATGTATACATGCAGTCAGGTTTATTAGGAGAGGGTGGGGTGAAGGTCTACTTTAAAGCCAGAGACAGCCAGTCAACTAGCATTTTCAGAAAGGTCAGGCATGGCATCCTCTGCACAGGTTTCCTCTCACATTCCAATACAAAGTTGTATTCAGTCCCCAGCCATATGTTGTTGAGCATAATATAAATTACGTGGGTAGAACGCTGCTTCACTGATAACACAGCTGCTAACCATACACGGGGTAAACACTGACATATCGTGTCCGATCACTGCGCACCAAATCCGGCCCCGGAGCGATCGCAGCGATCATGATTACCGTATCTTCTCTTCCAGTGATGTCATCGCTCTCACCTTGACAGACAAGTCACGCCCTTTTTTCCCGAGCCGCGGACTGCCATTGGCCGGCAGAGTGAGACATCTGCCTTCCTATTGGAATTGACCTCTGCCAATCGGAAAAAGGGAATGTTTGCTCCCGCCTCCGGCCGCGGCGATGTCAGGGAATATGGCGGCTGCTGTGTGTTGAAGCTGTTTGGGAAATTGCGGCGGTGTGTGAGGGGGGGTTTCGGCGGCCTTCTAAACTATGAGACGGGCCGGCGTGGCGCAGGTGTCTAGGCCCGGAAGGAGGCTGTGGAGGAAGCAGGCTGGCTGCGGTGAGAGGGACGGTCGGTGTTTGTAGATAGCAGGCTCAGGGGCACAGCTAAGACCCCCTCCCTTAGGAGGCCACCGAGTCAGCCAGGACCGAGAGCTGGAATGGGGCGGCTACGTGTGTCCTTCCCGAGTCTGGGCCTCTGCTTTTTCCTGGCGCTGGGTTATGTCCAGGCGGCTCCACTTCCTGGAACAGGTAAGAGGCTGGTACTGATCCTTCTCTATGGGGCATCACGTCTGTGCCCGGCACTGCTGTGCCAACCTGCTGCTGGCATGTACACTGTGCTTTATGACAGCTTCATCTTACTTGATCACCTATCTCTGAGTGTGTGTATATATATATGTGTGTGTGTATAATATATATATGTACTTACTCCTTTTTATTAGCTGTGGATAGATGAGGGCCTCATTCACACAGGCTAATTCTTACGACAGCAGTTTCCTATAACAGGTGGTTTCGAAGAGCTGCGACTGCCCAACTTGTACAAAGCAAACCCTTGCAAATGGTGGTAGGGCTGCACCTGTGGTTGCAAGAGAGCCACTGAAATTTTCTTTTCTCTGCGTTCAGTTTTAGGCCTCATTCATACAGACTAATCGGGTCTGGCAGTGGATTCCTGCGGCTGTGGTTGAGGACAGCTTGGGCCGCTCAGCCTGTACAAAGCAATGATGGGCTGACAGGAGCTGTCCGCCACTTTTCACATATACCCGCACCTCCAGCAGTTACCTACGGCTAGGTTCCGACGACCGGCACCGGGTAAGAGATATTGCCAGCACACCAACAATCTCGTTTATAAGGGAAAAGCTTTTTTATTTTTTATATGATCACATAGAAAATCAATGTTTACAGACTGCGCAATGACCCTTCCTGATGCTGTGCGGTATTCAAACGTTGCTTTCCTATGTGATCATACAAATACATTATCTAGTAGCGGTGACTACTTTACAACACACACAGGGACCATGGGGAACAAAAGTAGCCACCCTCCAGAAGGAAGGACAGTGTCGGCACCAATTCAGAGATGATTTGAGGATCTACAGCTGAGTGATACACGAATAGGATACATTTTTGTTAAGGTACTTGAATGTATTTTTTGGCTTTAACTCTAGTTTAGTGTCGCTTTAAGAGGGTGCTGCAATGACTCCTGCCTGGTCATGGTGTATCTAGATATAGTGTCAATATACTGACAAGCTTGTTTCTAAGATAATAGTTTATAGGAATAGGAAAGCTCTTCACTTATACACAAGATTGTTGTTGTGCTGGCGATATAGCTTATCTAGGGCTGGTCGTCTGAACCTAGCCGTAGGTAACTGCTGGAGGTGCGTGTATATGGGGGGGTTATCAATTGGAATTTCGGGCACAGCCTCCCCAGACCTTTTATCTGACGACATTGCCAAGAGATCAATTGAAAGCTTGTAGATTGCATCCAGCTCTTGGCCTCCCAAAATGTGGTCGTGCCTGTCCCAGAGGAGCAGCAATTTCTAGGGTTTTACTCCCATGTTTTCTTGGTGCCAAAGCTGTCTGGAAAGTTCAGGATGATCCTAAATTTGAGCAAGATAAATTTGAGCAAGATGAATCAGTTCCTAGTCTCCAAACATTTCAAGATGGAGAGCATTTATTCGGTTCGAATGATTCTTCAGCGGTCAGTTTTTATGGTCACCCTGGACTTAAAGGACGCGTACCTACACATACCTATTTGTCCGGAGCACCAAAGATTCCTGCGATTTGGGGTGAAAACAGGGCAGGGAATCAAGCACTGGCAGTTTCGGGCTCTTCCGTTTGGCCTCTCGGCGGCTCCCAGAATCTTCACGAAGGTTCTGGCGGAGCCGGTCTTTTTTTTGCGCATCCAGGGAGTGTGTCTTATCCCCTACATAGACGACATTCTGATCTATGGTCCTTCGGAAGAGGCAGTTCTGGGCAGTCTACAGAAGCGCCAGGACTTGCTAAATCTTTTGGGTTGGATCATAAATCAAGAAAAATCGGTTCTTGTCCCTGGTCAGTCGGTGGTTTTTCTCAGCTACTGAATGGATTCAGTAGCTGGGAAATTGTTTCTGACCGAGGAAAAGGTGAGCAAGCTTCGCTCAGAGCGCACGGTCGGGGGGTGCTTTTTTCTTTTCCCTCTACAGGGAAGTGGATTCCAGAGGGGTGGACGATTTTAGCTCAGGACTGGGATTTCGGTCTGGACTATGCATTCCCTCCGCTGGTGCTGCTGCCACGAGTGCTTCAGAAACTGGGCAGGTCAACCTGTTCTCTGATTCTAGTGGCCCAGGAGACCTTGGTTTTCGGAGCTTATGATAAGGTCAATACACCCTCCTTGGTGTCTGCCACAGTGCAGGGATCTGTTGTGTCAGGGGCCGGTCCTGCATCCGAACCCGGAGTTCTTGCAATTGAGGGCCTGGCTCTTGAGAGGCGGCTCTTGCAATTGAAGGTCTGTTCGGACAGGGTGGTTGAGACTTTCCTGTCCAGCGGGAAGATAGTGACCAGAAAAATATATGACCAAGTCTGGAAGATCTTTTCTTCCTGGTGTACAGGCAAGAGTATCGCTTTACCTTCGGTTCCAGTTGTATTAGATTTTTTGCAAGATGGTCTGGATAAAAAGTTGGCAGTCAATACCCTAAAGGTTCAACTTTCTCGGCCATTGCGAGATAAGACGTTCCGGCCATGGGATCTGTCCTTGGTGTTGGGGGGACTAGCTGAGTCGCCCTTTGAGCCACTGGAGGAAGTTTCTATGAAGTGGCTCTCGCTGAAAATGTTTTTTCTCTTGGCGATTACGTCAGCTTGGAGGGTGGGGGACTTCCAGGCTATTTCTATTTAAAGAACTCTATTTACTGATTTTGCCGGATAGGGTAGTGTTGAGACCGGATCCTTTGTACCTACCCAAGGTGTCCTCCAGCTACCATAGGTCGCAGGACATTGTGCTGCCTTCTTTTTGCGATTTCTCCTCAAAAGCCAAGGGAATGGGAGTTTCACACTTTGGATGTTAGAAGATGTTTAAATATTTGGAGGAATCTAGGTCATTCAGAAGATCCAGTTACCTATTTGTTCTCTATGCAGGGCCTAGCAAGGGTCTGCAAGCCTCTAGGGCCTCACTAGGCAGATGGATTAGGGAGGTTATTAAGTTTGTGTACCTTTTCAGAGGGCCAGGAAGTGCCTTCTGTCAAAGCGCATTCCACCAGATCTCTAGCGACCTCTTGGGCAGAAAAAGCTGGGGCATCGGTGGAGCAAATTTGTAAAGCAGCAGTCTGGTCAAGGCAAGATACCTTCTGTGAAGCACTATCGGTGGAGGTATTGTCGCAACAGGACCTCACCTTTGGCCGTAAGGTGCTGCAAGCAGTGGTCCCGCCCTGAGAAGGTAGGCTTGCTGGGAGTGTACTTGGTGATTCTCTCAGGTTGCTGGCCTGGAAGATGATTGGAGAAATGTTTAGTTATTACTTATAACGGGATTTCCACAAATCTTCCAGGACAGCAAGCCTACTTCCCACCCTAATTTGTAGTTGTAGAGCTATGGTTGTATGGAGTGTGGTGTTACCACGAACACTGGTGGTAGTATACTTTTATCACAACTGAGGTAAGAAGGGGTGGGAGGGTATTTAACTACCTTTTTAAATTGTGTTTCCTGCTCCTCTCCTCTGCCAAAATGTTCTGATTTCACTGTGCATTGGAGACTGCAGCAAAATAGATAAAGCCCCCATTTCCTGGCTGATCCAGCATCATCTAGCACTTTGTCGCCAACCTTTCTGTACCTTTCATTCATTAGATTTAAATTCTTTCGGTCATGGAGGATCAACATCACATGTGGGTATTATCTAGGGTGGTGTTCCTAGTAATGCAGCCTGCCAAGAAATGCTCACTCCTCCAGACTGATATGCACCCATCAAGGCATTTTGACATTTGCACAGCTCCTCAAAAGAGGCATCCTACTAATGGCACCAGGCATGCTGAGGGCTCTTGGGGGGATTTCTGAGTCAGGGTGCTGTGATATTTTCAGGAAGCTATGTACAACACCCTGCCAGCACCTCCCACCAGCCATGACCTGCCTGATTTGCATAGAAAAACACTGTAACCCAGTGATCATATCTCCTAAAATAGTGTGTTAAGGAAAATTTTTTTATTTTTTTGATGGAAATGGTTATTTTTATGCCTGAGCTGTGCAATTCAATTTTATGTTACAGAACAGGTATTGGCCTTGTAAAGTGCTCAGCTCCCTTTTTTTAAATTTCTTTTTCACCTTTTGTATAAGTGGCCACATTGTATTGTGTTATTGTTATTTGTGTCAGTGGACGTTTCTTTCCTTTAATATAAAACTGCAGCGGTTATTGTGCAGAGTTCAGATCAAATGAACTGGTCAGCCAGTTGGTCTGTCTTACTCCTTTGCTTTATTCTGGAGCGCTTGGTGTGGGACATATTAGTCCAATCTAGGGACCATGAAGCTCTTTTTAAAGGGCATGTATTTCCATTGCAGTATATTCCATTGTATACTGCATTTAAAGCAGTCATCGTTTCTTTAGAACTATAAGTGCCTAAGACTTGTCTAAAGGTGCCCATACACCTTGCGATTATCGTTTGAAAATCCAACGCGATCGGGTTTTCGTACGATAATTATCCAGTTGATGGGAAGTGAACGATAACAATTACTGTACAACTGGCGAATTTCCTCGAACGGTCATGCTGGAAAACACTAAGTTGCATTTCCATGCGGAAAAGTCGCAACATGAACGCTGCACATGCGCAAATGAAAATCCACGATTTCAATTGACGAAATTCGACCAGTTAGTATTTGCTAACGAACGATAATCGGAATCTACATTGGTCGGTGCACGATGGGGTATTCGAGCGGAATTTGAATAGGGGTTCGATGACGGGACAAAATAAATCAAACGATAATTGTGAGCTACGGCACCTAACTTTTGATGTTTTCTCTAGCTGTAAGTGGAGCTGACACCTTAGAGTACAATTCTGTATAAATTTGCCAACCCCACCCCCTGAGATTCTGTCTGCTGATTTTTGTTGTATATCAGCTGTACTTGTCCTCCATCAAGCTTCAAGCCTTTCATGGAAGTGTTGAGAATCATCCTTTTCCCTTATGGCTTTTTCTTTTTCTGTGTGGTTACTTTGCAGATCATACTTTGTTTTTTTTTTTTTTACCAAAATACATTTCCATATAAAAATGCTGTCAAATATAAGGTAGATAGTTGGAA